GTACATATATAACTAAACATAAAAGGACTGTACTACCCTTGTACAACCGACTCTAACAGGTGGCTAGTAGAGACGACGGGCAGCCCAAATCCGTATCCCTTATTGTTCTCTTCAACCTTAGATTCCATCCAAAACCGGAATCAGAATCAGAAGGAACTAAGAAAGAAGAAATGGGTTCATTCTTCAGATTTGACAAAGCATATAAGGAAGAAAATTGGTCCATCAGAGATGAGTCCCCAACCCAAGGCTGCTCCCAGAATTTTACRAGATTACCAGAGTTCAGATCATACCTTATCCAAGGGGAGAAAACCGGAAGCAAATCATGAATGGCTTTCCAAGGAGAAGTAGTTGTAGTCCTTGCCAAGATTCCTGGATCCCAGTCATTGTCTTCCAGCCCATGTATACTAGCCACAATCTTCGTCCAAAGTTTGTTCATTTCCATTGGAAACCTCCATAACCATTTCCCCAACAATGCCATGTTTCTTTTCCTGATATTCCCAATCCCAAGCTCTCCTAACTGCTTGCTTCTAGTTACCACCTCCCAACTCACCCTATGGTCTTTCTTCTCCTCTCCTGGTCTCCACAAGAAATCCCTCATTAACTTTTCCACTCTACTTGAGACCTTTGCGGGAATCTGATAGGCCCCCAATTAAACCTTACGTATGCTAGGAAAAGGGAAAGGGCAGCAAACGGTTAAGGGGGGAAATAATTGAACACATGGGGCTTGCCAGCTGGGCATTTATAGAGGAAGTCAGAAGGGAATAAGAAGAGTCTTGGGGCATTTATAGCTATGTCAGTTATGAATAAGATGAATGTTGGGCATTTATAACTAGGCCAACTGGGCATTTATGGGGGGGGGAATCAATTATGCTGTCAGAAGAATATAAGAAGGGTCTTTGGGGGATGGGGCAAGGCAGGCTTTTGTTGAGTGAAGAATACTGTGAGTGATTGGGAGAGCCGGCGGTCTCTCGAAGAACCGCCCAATTGTTACTGTTCTTCCTTTCTTCTGAATGAATACCAGTTTCTTTGTTGATATTTGAGTTGTGTGAATTTTGCTGCGAGTTTGAGAATTGTGTGTAAAGTTTCTGGGACCTAACAGTGGTATCAGAGCGTGTCTTTCCTCGGCCATGGTGACAGCTAAGGAAGTGGCATCGCAGGTGGAGGGTTTCGAAGAACGCTTGACTTCTCTGCATTCTGAAGTGGATGGCTTACGTGATGAGATAACTGTTGGACTTTCGAAGATCTCGTCTCTGGAAGGAAGCGTTCAAGATTTGGTGAGACATTTTGATCTGTTGCTTCAACAACAAGCCTATTCAGCTCCTTTGTCTACGACTGACATTGCTCCTCCTTTAGTCGTATCGAGTTGTGCGGTTGACAAAGGGTAGACTGCAGCTTTCCCGACGTCTCCTTCAATGTCAGTCCCGGAACATACTTCTGATTCACTTCCTCGGAAGTTGGAGTTGCCTATTTTTGATGGGGAAAATCCAGACGGCTGGATTTTTCGCGCGGAGCGCTATTTTGAGATTAATGGCTTGCTTCCGGCGGAACGACTGCAGGCGGCAGTGGTCTGTTTAGAGGGTGATGCATTGGCGTGGTATTATTGGGAGGATGGTCGGCGACCTTTTCGTAGTTGGGCAGAATTCAAGGAACTCCTCCTTGAACGTTTTCGATCAACTTAGGAGGGAAACTTGCAGGAGCAGCTTCTATCATTACGTCAATCCACTACTGTTAAGGAATATCGTCGCCAATTCGAGGTGCTCTCCGCCCCCTTATGTGACCTGCTAGAATCAGTCCTTGAAGCAGCATTTGTTAATGGGTTGCATGACCCTTTCCTGAACGGTGCCATGAAGCGGGGTGATTGGTATAGAACTAAAGACTTGGTACTTAAGGGCTCTAATTGGATTGTCAATGAAATGAAGAAATCTGGTCTTTGACGCCGTGGTGGAGCTGGTTTTCCATCTGGCCTGAAGTGGTCTTTCATGCCAAAAGTATCTGATGGTCATCCTTCTTATCTTGTTGTCAATACTGACGAGGGTGAGCAAGGAACATGTAAGGACAAAGAAATTATGTGCCATGACCCACATAAACTACTAGAGGGTTGCCTGATTGCAGGGGTTGTTATGCGGGCCATTGCTGCTTATATCTACATAAGGGGAGAGTATGTAAATGAGCGGAAAAACCTTGAGAAGACAAGGAGGGAAGCTTATCAAGCTGGACTTTTAGGAAAAAATGCATGTGGATCTGGATATGATTTTGATGTTCATATCCACTATGGAGCTGATGCTTACATTTGTGGAGGAGATGGCGTTGTTGGAAAGCCTTGAAGGAAAACAAGGAAAACCAAGGTTGAAGCCTCTTTTTCCAGCTAATGCAGGGCTATATGGATGTCCAACAACTGTTACAAATGTTGAAACTGTGGCTGTTTTCTCCACCATTTTAAGGTGTGGTTCTGAATGGTTTGCTAGTTTTGGCAGGAAGAACAA